CTCACACAGTCCTCTTTGCTCTCCATCCCAGAGGAGAACGTGGCCTCTTTCATATCAAGCACAAGCACAACCTGCCTCACGCTAGCCTTAGACACCAGGAGGCAGGGCCTCAAGCTGACCAGCCTGGGTCATGGTCCCCAAGTGGAAGGGCTAGGAGACAATCCCCAAAAGAGAGAAGGTGCACTGATGCCCAGTGCAGAGGACTAGACCTGAAACAAACAACCATGTGGATAATGTATATTGTCTGACAAAACAATGAAGGAAAAGTGTATGGCTCTGTGTGTACACATCAAAGGGTGATAAAGCCCAGTGGTAGAGTCAGAGAAGTCCCCTGAGGAGGTGGCAGTTGAGCAGGAGCAGATGGATCAGTGGGAAATACTGGCACCAGAGTGGAAGAAGATCTGACAGAAGGAAGAGCCAGTGTGAGGGCCCAGCTGTCAGAGGGAAAAGGCATCTTAGTTTCCTAGTTGTGATAGTTAAGGTTGTGTGTCAACCTGGCTGTGCCGTGATTTTGAGTGGCTTAGGAGTTGGATGTAGTAATTTCCCATGACGAGATTGAATGTGGTGTAATCACCTCCATGTTGGAATCTGCTGTGACCAGATTGAATCTGCTTCAGTCAGTTGAAGGGAAGTTGCATTTGGGGTGTGGCTTGCTTCCAGTATATATAGAAAGGATCCTGCATTTGGTTCATGAGTCTTTATCTCCAGTTTCTGCCTGCCATGTTGCCTGCTGATCTTGAGATTGTGCCATTTTACCTGCCAGTCTTGGATCCATCAGCCTCAGCAGCTAACAGCTGTGTAAATTAGGAGACGCCTCTAGCTCCAGTGGGCCTGGAACAAGAGGCAGAGCTGAAGCCCAAGATCAAGAGGCCTTCACACAGCCTCCAGAGCTGCCACTCTGAATTCGGACTTCTAGCCTCCCAAACTGTAAAAGAATAAATTCTTGTTTGTTAAAGCCATCCACTTGTGATATTTCTGTAACAGCAGCACTGGAGAACTAAGACACTAGTGCTGTTGTAACAAATACCACATGTAGGTGGCTTTAAAGAAGAGAAATTTATTTTCTCATGGTTCTGGAGGCTAAGAATCCAAATCAGGGTATCAGCCATGTTGATCCCTTCCTTGTTGGTAGTTTAGGGCATTCCTTGGCTTGTAGCCAATCCTCATATGGCATCTCTCTTTGCCTCTCCTCCCCAGGTGTGTATATCTGTACCTAATCTACTCTTCTGGTAACTTAGGTGTGATCTAATTAATGTAGCAAAACCCACTGCTGTAGATTCCAACTCATAGCAACACTATAGGGTAGAGTAGAACTGCCACTTACGGTTTCCAAGGCTGTAAATCTCTACAGAAGCAAACTGCCACATCTTTCCCCTGTGGGGCAGTTAATGGGTCCAGACCTACCTTTTGGCTAGCAGCCAAATGTTTTAACCACTGCACCACCAGAACTCCTTAACATAACAAAGAAACCCCCATTTCCATACAGGATTACATCCACAGATATAGGGGTTAGGATTCCAGCACATATTTTGGGGGACACAATACAATTCATAACAAAAGGTGTGATGAGAAAGGGTGTGAGGGTGAAGGATGCCCAGGTGGGTCTGACAGTGCCTCAGCTGTGGCATATAGACCACAGGAGCTGCTGAATAAGCTATGTGCTGTCTCATAGTACTGATGCACTGTGGTGGCCAGAGGACACTTAGAAGAGTTGAAGGTGACAGCACTGGGCTCCTCACAGGCTGCTCAGGGGCTCCCAGAGGACCTAGGAGTTGGCAGCAGCCTAAGCTGAATAGGTGTCTGTCTCTGAAGGTAGCTCATCCACAGAGAGCCAGTGCCAGCAAATCCTGTCCTGGTCAGGGAAGCTATTGATGAAACCCATTATCCAAAGCAAAGACTCCCTCTGGGTTCCAGATAGCCCAGGAACTTGAGACAAATCAAGGTCATCCTTGTCCCTCAGGAACCTTCAGGCTGATGGCAGGTGTGGTTGGGGCCGAGGAAACCAGAGGTCACAGGAAAGAGAAGGATTTGGAGACTGATATCCATCTGCACAAAGGAAGGATTCCCCCCCATCCCTCCCTCCGGCCAGGGCAGAACTGGAGATGCAGCCTTGTTAGCTAATGCGAGTTTAATATGGAGTCGAGGGAGCTGGACACCAGCCTAGCCAGCCACCCAGGAGACACTCAGAAATAGAGCAGGGCAAGGCATCCCCCACCTGCTCAGTGCCACTCTGCCACCTGAAAGGCAGGGGGCAGCCCAGTAGCAACGTAGGCAAACTCTGCCCAACAAAAGCATCCCTTCCACATCACTCACTTTGTATAAAGGAAGAGTTATTGTTATAGGATGTTGGCATCTGATCAATATCTCCTGATTTGAAAATAAACTTCTTGGCTTGGCCTTGACATTAATCTGCCATCAGGAGCCCATTATCTCGAGACCAACGTTCTGTTCTATTGACTTGCTTGACTCCCCCCAGATGAGAATAGAATTGCATTTCTCTAGGCAGCACTTCCACTAATTGCAGCCCCATGCCATGTGCATCCCCTCGTGGGAAGCTGGGACAATGTCACTGGGGGCTGGGGGGCAGTAATTGTGAGAAGTCACAGTGAACTGAGACCCGTCAGGTGCTAGGTGAAAAAGCAACCCTTTTAGAGCCAATGGAGTCCCGTCCCCAGTAGCTCATTGCACAGTACATGCAAGAAGGGGCTCTTTTCCACAGATCACGGTTGTAGATGTTCTCTTCTCGCCCCTCACTCCACAACGAGGGGCTATGATTAGATTAATAATACTGTCATCAGTCCAGCTGCATCCCACCATGGCTACAGCCACCTCCTCACATGAAGCTATCATGACTCCTGCAGGGGCTTCCTAAGCCATACTCCCCAAAGCCTGCATCCTACAGGTCATTCCTTACTCCATAATTGGAGTCACGTGGATAAAATATAAATTGGATTATGTCATCTCCTTCACTGAAGACTGTCCATGGCTGACTCCTCACTCTGCCCTATTACATCCTCATGAACTGGCCCCACCCTGTTCCCCTCCCATCACTGTTCCCTTTGCTCCCTGTGCTCCAGGCCTCTGGCTTTCTTTGTGCAATGATCATGACAAGCTCACCCCCTACCCCAGGGCCTTTGCACTTGCTGTTCTCTCTATTCTCTCCCCCATTCTCAATCTTCATGTTACATTTGCCTTCTCATCCTTTAAGTATCCTCTCAAATAGTCCCTTCTCAGTGTGACTTTCCTTGACCACTGGTATAAAATAGCACCCCATACAGTGAATCTTGTTTTGTCTTTCTCTAGCATGTATCACTGTCTGAAACTATCTCTCTCTGTGTCTTAGATATCTTTTCCCACAGGAAAAAATTACCCCAAGAGATAATGTCTTAAAACAACAATAAGCAGTTATTTTCTAGCAGTTTCTGTGGGTTGGGGATTTGGAAGCAGCTTAGTGGCTTAAAGTCTCTTACAAGGTTGCATTCAAGATAATCAGCTGAGGCTTCAGTCATCTGAAGGCTTGACTGGGGTTGGAGGATCTGCTTCTGAAGATGGCTCACTCACATGGCTGGCACAGTAATGCTGGCTCTTGACAGGAAGCCTCTGCTCCTTATTACCTTATGGACTTCTCCACAGGGCTGTGTGAATGACCTCACAACATGGCAGCTGACTTTCTCTAAGCAATCAATCTCAGAGAGCAAGGTGGAAGCCATAGTGTCTTTAACGACTAATATTTCTGCAGTATTGGTTATACAAGACAGCCTTGCTCAGTATAGGAGGGAACTATACAAAGGTACTAATATCAGGACGCAAAGATCATTGGGGACCGTCCTGGCTGCTGGCTACCACACACCCTGATGAGCAAGGGCCTTGGTTAACTTATTCATTGTTACATGTCCCAGCACAATGTTGGGCATGTAACAGGTACCCTGTATACATTACTCAATGGTATGAATTAGTAATAGTAGTTGCTAACACTACTGCTAAGCACTACAAGGAGTATTTTATTTAATCCCCCAGTCTCACCTCATTCAGTCCTTTACATGTGAGGAAACTGAAGCTCAGAGAAGTGAAGTGCTGTGATCAAGGTCATAAGGCTGGTATATGGCCAACCCAGGATTTGAACCCACGTGTGCTGAGGAAGGGCTTCCCAGGCTGGTCCCATCAGTGAGTGTAAGTCAGCATTACTGTACTCGGTAAGGACTCCCAAAGTGCTGTCTGCCCAGTGTGCAGGCAAACCTAGTTGCTCTGTGTGACAGCCAGATTTTCCCCCTGGGTGGAAGATAGGATGCAGAGAGGAACCCACACTGCAGTCCCCATACTGCAGCCATACCCACCTGCATGGCTTAACAAACCCCACTACAGGAAGAAGTTAAGCCAGAGAGGCTACTGGGCCCGCTTATGTAACCCAGTAAGAGACTTAAAGATCTAGGAGGAAATTCGAGTCTAACGCCAGAATCAGTAAACATAAGTGCCTGTGTGCTCAAACTCTCTTTTCCTGTGGCAGACATCACTAAGTGATCACCGTAGGTTTTCCCACTGAGGCCTGATGCTGCCTTAGACTTCTCAACGCAGCGCTCCAGCATCCACAGTGGTTTAGAGCTCAGACTCTGGCGTCAGCTACAACTGGACTTAAACTCTGGCCCCACGACTTACTAGCTCTGTATCCTCAGACAAGTTTCTTAGCTTCTCAGGGGCTCAGTTTCCTAATCTGTTTCATGGAGCTATGTTATTACCTACCTTATAGGTTTTCTGATGAGTCTCAAATGTGATTATGCATGGGAAGCTCTTAGCATAGTGCTTGGCAATGAGTAATCACTCAGTGCCATCAGCTGTGTTTTACTGCTGCTGTTTTTACTTTGGATCTCTGCCCTTGTTAGTTCTATGAACCAGGGGCTATATCCCGGCTGATGCTTTTTGTTGGATGCAATAAGGAGCACTGGCCTTTGAGGGACAGTGAATTGGAGACAGGAACATTATCTTCTCTCCCTTCATCTCTACAGGTGTGGATGTGTGGGGGCCGCATGGAGGACATTCCCTGCTCCAGGGTGGGCCATATCTACAGGAAGTACGTGCCCTACAAGGTCCCTGCTGGAGTCAGCCTGGCCCGGGTAAGGTGATAGCCCTCTGGAGGGAGAGATGGGCGCTCAACCCACACCCTTAAACAGAGTAGAAGCACCCTCAGGTGCCTGAGAAGTTACTTAAAGCCCCACTTCACCCCTCTGTGACCTTGGGAGGTTTGTTTAACCCCTCTGAGCCTGTGATTTCTCCTTTGTTTAAAGATAACTAATTCTTTCCAACACTTAGCATTGCCAGGGAAATTAAAGAGATGATGAGTTTTCCTGAAGTGTGACAGACAGAGATGGTTTTGGGTGTTAGACATGAGAGCATTTTAATTTTCATGTGTTTATGTTAATGTGGGTTAGAGATTAATGTGCATTCGTGTATCAAACTTGTGATTTCATAGATATTTTATTTAGGATAAAGCTCAAGTAGGTGTACAGTTAGACCTGGGGTGATTTAAAGAAAAATCCTTGCCATCAAATCAATTCTGGCTCATAGAAACTCTATAGTACAAAATAAAACTGCCCTGTAGGGTTTCCAAGGCTGTAGTCTTTACAGAAGATCTTTCTCCAATGGAGCAGCTGGTGGATTTGACCTGCTGACCTTTTGGTTAGCAGCCTAGCACTTAACCACTGCACCACCAGAGTGCCTTATTTAAAGAAATATGTTGTTGTTAGGTGCCATCAAGTTGGCTCCAACTCATAGCGACCTACATACAACAGAATGAAATACTTCCCAGTCCTGCACCAGCCTCACAAATCCTTGCTATACTTGAGCCCATCGTTGCAGCCACTGTGTCAGTCCATCTCATTGAGGGCCTTCCTCTTTTTTGTTGTACTCCACTTTGCCAAGCTTGATATCCTTCTCCAAGGAATGGTCCCTTCTGACAACATGACCAAAGTAGGTGAGACAAAGTCTGGCCATTCTTACTTCCAAGGAGCATTCCGGCTGCACTTCTTCCAGGATAGATTTATTAATCTTCTGTCAGTCCATGGTGCTTTCAGTATTCTTCACCAGCACCACAACTCAAAAGCATCAATTCTTCTTTGGTCTTCCTTATTCATTGTCCAGCTTTCACATGCATATGAGGCGACTGAAAATACCATGGCTTGGGTTGAGCGTACCTTAGTCTTCAAAGAGACAGCTTTACTCTTCAGCACTTTAAAGACGCCTTTTGCAGCAGATTTGCCCATGCAACATGTCATCTGATGTCTTGACTGCTGCTTCCTTTGGGTTGATTGTGGGAACAAGTGCTATAAAATCTCTGGCAGATTCAGCTTTCCTCCATTTATCGTGATGCTGCTTATGGGTCCAGTTACAAGGATTTTTGTTTTCTTTATGTTGAAATGTAATCCATACTGAGGGCTGTAATCTGTAATCTTCATCAGTAAATGCTTCAATCATCCTCACTTTCAGAAAGCAAAGTTGTGTCATCTGCGTATCATAGGTTGTTAATGAGTCTTCTTCTAATCCTAATGCCATGCTCTTCTTCCTCTGGTCCAGCTTTTCAGATTATTTGCTGAGCATACATACTGAATAAGTATGGTAAGAGGACACAATCCTCACACACTCCCTTCCTGATTTTAAACCATGCAGTATCCCCTTATTCTATTTGAATGACAGCCTCTTGGTCTATTTACAGGTTCCTCGTGAGCACAATTAAGTGTTCTGGGATTCCCAGTCTTCTCAGTGTTATCCATAATTTGTTATGGTCCCCACAATAAAATGCTTTTGAACAGTCAATAAAACACAAGTAAACATCTTTCTGCTTTCAGCTAAGATCCATCTGACATCAGCAGTGATATCCCTCATTCCACATCCTCTCCTGAATCCAGTTTGTGTTTCTGGAAGTTCTCTGTCAATATACTGCTGCAACTATTTTTGAATTATCTTCAGCAAGATTTTATTTATGTGTGGTATAAATGAAATTGTTTGATAATTTGCACATTCTTTGGGATCACCTTTCTTTGGAATGGATACAAATATGGATCTCTTCCAGTCAGTTGGCCAGGTAGCTGTCTTCCAAATCTCTTGGCATAACCGAGTGAGTGCCTCCAGTGGGACATCCATTTGTTGAAACATCTCAGTGGGTATTCCGTCAATTCCTGGAGCCTTGTTCTTTACCAGTTTCTTCAGGGCAGCTTCAACTTCTTCCTTCAATACCATTGGTTCTTGATCATATGCTGCCTCCTGAGATGGTTGAACATTGACCAATTCTCTTTAGTACAATGACTCTGTGTATTCCTTCCATCTTCTTTTGATGTTTCCTGCATTATTCACTATTTTGCCTGTAAAGTAAAACCAAACCAAACTCACAGCCATCAAGTTTATTCCAACTCATAGCAACACCCTTTGGGTTTCCAAGGTGGTAATTCTTTACAGAAGTAGATTGCCCAGTCTTCTTCTGTGGAGTGGCTGGTGGCTTTGAACTGCCAACCTTCTGGTTAGCAGTCAGGTGCTTTAGGCACTACACCACCAGAACTCCTTATTTTGCCCATAGAATCTTTCAATATTGCAACTAGAGGCTTGAATTTTTTCTTCAGTTTTTTCAGCTTGACAAATGCTGAGCGTGTTCTACCCTTCTGGTTTTCTAACTCTAGGTCATTATAATAGTTGGCTTTGTCTTCTCAAGCTGCTCTTTGAAATCTTCTGTTCAGCTCATTTATCTTGTCATTTCTTCCATTTGCTTTAGCTACTGTCCATTCAAGAGCAAGTTTCAGAGTCTCTTCTGAAATCCATTGTGGTCTTATCTTCCTTTCCTGTCTTTTAAATGACCCTTTGCTTTCTTTATGTATAATGTTCTTGATGGCATCCCACAGTTCCTCTGGTTTTTGGTCATTGGTGTTCAGTGCATCAAATCTATTCTTTAGAAGGTCTCTACATTCAGGAGGGATATAATCAAGGTCATATTTTGGCTCTTGTGGACTTGTTTTAATTGTCTTTAGCTTCAACTTAAACTTGCAAACGAGCAATTGATGGTGTATTCCACAGTAAGCTCCTGGCCTTATTTTTGGCTGAAGATACTGAGCTTCTCCATTGCCTCTTTCCACAGACATAGTCTATTCAATTCCCCTGTATTCCATCTGGCAAAGTCTACGTGCATAGCTGCTGTTTATGTTGTTGCAAAAAGGTATTTGCAATGAATAAGTTGTTGGTAAGGAGCTCTAGTGGCACCATGTCTAAGGCATTTGACAGCTAAGCAGAAGGTTGCTGGTTCAAACCCACCAGCTGCTCTGTAGAAAGAAGATGGGGCTATCTAATTCTGTAAAGATTTACCACCTCAGAAACCCAATGGGGTTCGCCGAGAGTTGGAATCAACTCAGTGGCAGTGAGTTTGGTTTTGGTTTGGTTTTAAGTTGTTGGTCTTAACAAAATTCTATCATGAGATCTCCAGGCCATATTTCTATCACCAAGGCCTTATTTTCCAACTACTGGTAATTCTTCTTTGTTTCCAAATTTTGCATTCCAATCGCCAGCAATAATCAATACATCTTGACATCTTGATTGCATGTTTGGTCAATTTCAGACTGCAGAAGTTGGTAAAAATCTTCAATTTCCTCATCTTTAGCTTTGGTGGTTGGTCCATAAATTTGAATAATAGTAGTATTAACTTGTCTTCCTTGTAGGTGTATGGATAATATCCTGTCACTGACAGCATTGTACTTAAGGATGGATCTTGAAACATTCTTTGTGACGATGAATGCCACACATTCCTCTTCAAATTATCATTCCCAGCATAGTAGATCATATGATTGTCTGATTCATAATGGCCAATACCAGTTCATTTCAGCTCACTAATGCCTAGGATATCCATCTTTATGTGTTCCATTTCATTTTTGACAACTTCTAGTTTTCCTAGATTCATACTTCATACATTCCATGTTACAATTATGAATGGATGTTTGCAGCTGTTTTTTCTCATTTTGAGTCATGCCACATCTGGAGCTGGTGCGTGACCAGGCAGTGTTTCGTTCTGCTGTGCATAAGGTTGCTATGAGTCGAAGATGACCCGACGGCGCCTAATAACAACTACTCTGAGGAGGCAGCTCTTTCCCAGTCATATTTTGAGTGCCTTCCAACCTGAAGAGCTCATCATCCAGCCCTATACTGGATAATGTTTCAGGGCTATTCATAAACTTTTCCAGTAATGTATCAGTGTTCCACTGCTGTTCATAAGGTTTTCACTGGCCAGTTGTTTGAGAAGTGGATGGCCCCTTCCTCCTTTTGAGTCTCTTAGTGTGGAAGCTCTGCTGAAACCTGTCCACCATGGTGGACCCTGCTGTTATTTGAAATACACGTGGCATAGCCTCCAGCCTCACAGCAACATGCAAGCCTCCACAATGTGACAAGTGACAGACAAGTGGTGGGAAGAAATATGTTAGATAAATATTAATACAGGTGGTGTGATTTGTTTGGGAAAGCTGAAACCAGATGCTTAAAAGTTCCTGGTTCCAGGATTGTTAATAAATGAGCCTTTGTCTCTCCTCCCCTTCCCTCCCCACTTTCATTGCCAGATTGATTTTTTGTGTCAGCCTATTTCATTGCCTTAAAACGATTTTGTATCATTGCTTGAATTAAATTGGCCACGGGCAGCAAACAGAAATCTGTGAACCTGAGTGGTCGGGGAGGTGGTGGTGTTTAATGCATTAGGAGTTTCCCTAGCTATCTGAGAGTAGAATGTTCCTATGAAATCTTTCGTAAACTGAAATCGCATAAAGCAAAGAAGCATTTACAGTTAATATGGGAAAAATAATTCTGCGTTCCCAGACCCAAAAAATAACCTACCAAATCATACCGAATAACATATAAAACCTAAAATAACACTAACATGTAGTGTTCACACAGCCCTGGTGGTGAAGTGGTTAAAACACTAGGCTGCTAACCAAAATGTCAGCGGTTTGAACCTACCAGCCACTCCCAGGGAGAAAGATGTGGTTTCTGCTTTCCTAAAAAGTTACACCCTTGGAAACCCTATGGGACCCCACCCTACAGGGTCGATATGAGTCAGAATTGATTCAGCATCAGTGGATTTGATTTTGGTTTTGGT